TCCATAACAAACCATAAGAGCTTTCATCAAGTTCTGTGAGTCCTTCTTGCCAATTATAGAATCTGAGGGCCTTCTTGGAGACCCCCAAATTTACAGCCAACTGTTTTGATGTTCAGGTGGTCTTGGGGCTCATTAAACTTGAGGCTGGTGTTTGAGGTAAAAGCAGCATTGTGTGGCCACTCTTCCCACTTACTGAACAGTTGATTAAAGTCATTTCAGATCAAGATATGCTGGGAGCTGGATTCATACACTGACCTGGTTCATGTCTTTTCCCAAACAGTGTTAAAAATCAATTCCTTGTAGATGGAAAAATCATGTGGAAGGGCTCAGATGATACAAGAAATAGAAAATGAAGTCAATTCTGCATGGAATCAGGAACTCAGCCATGGGGCAGTTTTTCTCTTAAGATCTGCAGAAAGAGGAGGCCTGGCCCCATCGTCTGGATTGCACCCTTGCCGTGGGCAGCTGGTCACTGGGAATGCTTTTGCTCAGAGTTCCAGACCTGCATCACAGTGGAATGGAATGGTTTCAAAGATTCTGCAGCAGGAGGTCTCTGAATGCAGAGGACCTGTAGCCTCCACCATCTGGTCTACCTGATTTGACTGCCTGTCCAGCCCAATCAATTCTTCCACTGTTCTCAGGCCTCTCTGTTTCCTGTGTTCTTGTCTTCACACCTTCCACGTTTATTGGGAAAACCACTCCACACATGATGAAGTCCTAACTTCACAGTGGTAGCATTTGCAGATGGGTTCTCTGAGAGGTAAATTGGGTTGCATGAGGTGATGAGAACAGAGCTCTCAGGATCAATGCCCTTGCAAGACAGGACAACAGCTATTTCTCTCCACTCCTACCTGTATGCACACAGAGAAGTGGTCAGGTGAGCAACAGGAAGGTGAAAGCCATTCACAAGATAAGAAGAGAGTCTTCCACCTAACATACCAAGTTGACACCTTAGTCCTGGAGCTCCCAGCCTCCAGAAGTGTGACAAATATGTCTTATAACTAAGTAAATCAGTAAATGGCATTTTAGTATAACATCTCTAGCAGAGAAGACAACCCCTTAGAAATCTCTGCTCTTATAATCCCTAGCATGTCAGAAGACTTCCTATGAATGTATGTGAGTTGCTTTAATCATTTGCATAAATTAAGAAATTTGATATTATTTCAATTGGAAATAGCAAAACATTTCATCATATACTTATTTTGCTCAAAGAAGTATCATAGCCCTAAATTAAATACTTAAACATTAATCTTTGTTCTGAGAATGCAAATATACCTGCTTGTATGCATACAAAGATATGAAAACTAAAACATCAGCAATAGATTGACAATAGGAAAAATGGATATATTTCATATATATTTTAAATGTTTATTGTCATAATACTTGTGTATATTATATATTTGTGCGGTAAAATATATCAATATATGTTTTTATTGTGGGATGATTATATAAAGCTAATGAATGAACCTAGTATGTCACATATTTACCATTTTTTTCAGTGAAAACATTTAAAGCTGGCTGTTACTAATATTTCAGACTAGTGTTAATGAAATTTACTGTATAAGGGAGGGATCTGGGAATCCTGTTGCATGTAAACAGTGATCTTGTAAGGTGGAAGCAGAGTCTACATTTTTGTATTTATTTAGTTTCTAGGAGCTCCTGCTCATCAGCTGATCATGCAGGAAGGAGCAAGGATATAAGGAACTGGAGTAAGAAAAATTTCACTCTCCCCAGAAAATCAGAAAGCACTGACAAAGAGAATTAAACCAGTACAAATAAATTAAAAGATACCTTGGATTCCAAGATCTGAATAACTGATATTTTAAATGTCCATATACAATATGATCATTCAATCCCTATCAATATATATTTTCAGAAGCATTCTGTATTCTTTACAGAAGTAAAAAAAAACCTTAAAACTCATGCAGTACAAAAGGAGACTATGAGGAGCCAAAGAAAATTTGAGAAAGGAAAACAAAATTGGAACCACATGCCATGCTTTAAAATGTATTTCAAAGCCCCAGCATTCAAACAGCAGGGTACTGGGAAGTTCAGACTCATAGAATTTATAGGAACAGAATGGGGAGCCATGAAAATAGCTCATTATATATGATCCATATTTTCTTTTTTAAAAATTTTTATTTATTTATTTGACAGAGTTACAGTGAGAGAGAGGGACAGAGAGAAAGGTCTTCCCTCAGTTGGTTCACTCCCCAAATGGCCACCATGGCTGGAGCTACGCCAATCTGAAGCCAGGAGCCAGGTGCTTTCTCCTGGTATCCCATGCAGGTGAAGGGGCCCAAGCATCTGGGCCATCCTCCACTGCCTTCCCCAGGCCACAGCAGAGAGCTGGACTGGAAGAGGAGCAACTGGGACTAGAACCCGGTGCCCATATGGGATGCCAGCGCCACAGGTGGAGGATTAACCTAGTGTGCCACCTTGCTGGCCCCCTGATCCATATTTTCAACAAGGATACCAAGAACGCACAATGGCTTAAGGAGAGTACCTTCAATGAATGGTGCTGAGAAAACTGAGGATCCATATGTAAAGTACTGCAAACACCACCTCAGATGCATTGAAGAGTTAAACTGATGTATGCGGGGAGGAAGCTAGGAATGAGGACCTGAGGTCATCAGCCCTTCCCTGGTGCTCTGCATGCACTGCCCAAACCCTCTCATTTTCCCTGCAGTGAAAAGGGGCAGCTTCCACAAAATCACTCCTGAGACATGACATAGGCAAAAATAACCAACACAGTTGCAGACTGCTCATCATATGGCTATAATGAAATTACCATACCTGACATTCCTACTCTCTTCATGCACCTGAGGCCATTACTTGCAATACTTCCCCAGTAAAGGGCAAGGAAATGGCTGATACTCAAGCTGCACCTCCAAACTCTACCCCCATGAGTATTCATTTAACCCTATACAGAGAGCACCCTCTGCTTCAAGAGCCAAAGAAGGAAAGGACCTGAACATCTTGGAGTGCAGCCACTCTAGAGGATGCCTGAGCCCTTTCTTGACTGTGTACTTGCACTTTTCATACAAGCAAATCTTACTTCTCTGGTGATCTTCACCTATGTCTGGAAATGATGTTAAGAAACTAGTAAATTATTTCAATGCAAAAAGTATTTTTAAATAAAATTGTCAATATGGAGATAAACTATTGCATCTTTGGTTTTTATAGGATCGATGATTAAGGAGAAAGCAAAGAGTACTGGAATTTTAAATTTTGCATTGCTATGTTTAATTCTTTTAATAAAGCATGTTACTTTTTATTAAATATAACAATAAAGGAATTTTAATCAGATTTTGGGCAGAGAATGGCTCAATACATATTAAAAGCCAGGCAGGAAATCCCAGAAGCTCTGTCCATCAATGAGCACAGGGTACCAACCAACAGCCTTTGGGACGTCCAATATCATAGCTTTAAATTATGACTTGAAAATTGGGAAGTATATTAGTAGATTTTTTGTATTAAAAACAAATGATAAATTTAGACTTATATTTTATAATTTCCCATGAATTACAAACAAAAAAACTACTCAGCACTACTAACAATAAAACAAAAGAAAATGTAAGGACAGAAAATCACCATAACCATTCAATTCTGTTGAACTGTGGAGGTAATAGGGCTTATCTGGTAATTAAGGGAATCATAAAATCTGTTAAATCATGGTTTCACTTCATACCTTATGTATATCTATGGATGTTATTGTTTGGTTTCCTGTATCTGTGGAGATTACAAATAAGTGTGAATACTGATAAAGAATGTTTTGCTATAAACCCCCATATCCCTTGTAATCCCAAATAACTGCCATTGAGTGTCAGACAAATCCAGGTAAACTATGGTCCTCATGTTCTCCATTGCACCTGTGTCACTGAAAAACCTTTGTCAGGAGCAGTCTCACCATTGCTCTGTTCATTACATAAATGATGCTGAGATTACTGGTCTGAAGTTTGGGAAGGAACTCATTGTGGGGTAGACAGAAATCTGTGAATCCTGGGAGACACAGGAGCTTCACTGCCTGTCCCTCCCCTGTCAGACTCAGGATCTCCTGCTCCCTCCAGGTCAGACCCTATTCACTTCATGGATCAAAGGAAAGAAAGAGCCACTCTAAAGACTTTAACCGCCTCTTTGGAGATATTATCGACCAAGTTGTAATTGTTTTTGGTAATTAGCAAGAGGGAAATGTTTTCACAAATATCATCAGAGCCCAATCTTGTGCTTTTACTGCAGCTTCAGGTGAAAAGATAATTGCAGCTCTGCAGGGGGGTGAGGTCACAGGCACACACCATTTCTAGTGCTCCAGCTGCCTCCAGCACCTCATTTCTGACCTTGGTAGCTGAGGCTTGTTGTGGCAGCTGAAATAAATTGTGGGATTTTCCCTGTCAGTGAGAAAGAGAGGCTTCAGGCAAGGAGGCAACCAGGAGTCGGGGTGAGTGATCAGGTGAGAAAGGGGATTTGTCTGTGTTTGCACCTGGTCCCGTGCCCCAGCCTCACAGGAAGGAGGAAGGATTCTGAGATGTGTGCTGAGCTAGGGCAGGGAGACAGGGTCCTACACCCCACTCCAATCTCTGATGGCTGTTAATAGAAATTGGCTTTGGGGCTGGTGCCATGGTACAGTGGATTAAAGCCCTGGCCTGAAGTACTGGCATCCCATATGGGCGCCAATTTGAGTCTCATCTGCTCCTCTTCTGATCCGGCTCTCTTCTATGGCCTGGGATAGCAGTAGAAGATGGCCCAAGTCCTTGGGTCCCTGCACCCATGAGAGAGACCCGGAAGAAGCTCCTGGCTCATGGCTTCGCATTAGTGCAGCTCCTGTCATTGTGGCCATATGGGGAGTGAACCATTGGATGGAAGACCTCTCTCGGTCTCTACCTCTCTCTGTAATTCTTTCAAATAAATAAAAGAAATAGAAATTTGCTTCATCCACAGTGACATTCGTTCTTGGTGTTTGATGAATACAATCATGAAATCTTGTGTTTAATGTATTTCAGAACTGTAGTTCCAAAAGAGTTCTGCTGTTCCGTCACCTGTACAGGAGTCACAGACTCCACTTTCAGAGGTTAGAGATGCGCCTAAAGAACGCGACATGCTTGTGAAATGGACGAGGACAAACCTACAGAATCCTCCCATCCTGGGTCAATTCCTGGAATGAAATGATTTTCTCTAAGTCTGTCATATGAATTGTTCAATGTACACAGTGACTGTTTTCTGTGGAAAACACCCATGATCCCTTAATTACAGTAAGAATATTTTCCATATTTAAGTAGGGGAAGATTGATTAAGGAAAAGGTGGTTTTATCCTTGTAGTAATGGGTTTCAGATGCTTTCAGTACAACTTTGTCTTCTGATATTTTATTTGGAATGAAAATATTTTCTTCTGAATTACAAGCTCCATAGTTTCTAGTTATAAAATACAGAGAATTGAGACTGTAAAGATTTCATGTACTGTTCATGGCTTATATTATAATATCTTTCAATAAGTTGCCTTATTGAAAGTACTTTTAGTTAAGTATTAATAAATACATAAGTATGATGTGAAAGTCATATTTAGTTTATAATATACACCATTTTACTATAGGCTGGGGTTAATGTCTCTTAGTATAGGGTACACCATATGTCAGTACTTGTGTTTCAGTTTTCCCTATTATACAAGACAAATAGTGTTTCTATTGGCTTCCTAATATAAAGCCAATTTAGAGTTACTTACATACAATTCCTCAAGGAGAAATACTAGAGAAAATTATACTACCATCAATTTATTTATATCTCAATAATATACTTAAATATTGAATCATTATTGATGATTGCTTATGCAATCAATCTTTCTGCATAAATGTAAACTTGTACAAACAGAATGATAAATAGTACTACCGGTCTGATAAATTGACAAAGCTAATAAAACAATAAGTGTATGTATGTGCTATTTGAGGAACACAGTGAAGTAAAATCGTTAGAATAATGTCTGATTAATGTAGCTGCTTAAATACAAGTCCAGACAGGTTCAACTTTGCACACACACACACAAATAAAGTTTGAATTTGGAAAAATCAATAGTCTGTGTCCCCTAAGTGATAATTACATTGGGAATTAGATGAATACTTTTGCCTTTCATGGAGTTATGAATGCAGCAATTACTCACAAGTCTCTTTAGATGAGAAATTCATGTTTTGTAGTAGCCTTAATAATTACACAACTAACTCTCTGAGAGATGTTCATAATTTTTAGTGTGAGCTGATATTAATATAAAGAATGTTAAATTACAGTAGACAATAAAACTTGTAGTTCATGCTTCATATTTCCATACATGAATCACTGGATCAGAGAAATAATCTGGCATTGGGAGCTGACGCAATGGTCACCAGAGATTTGACAATGGGGATGATATACCTAGCACAAACCACCACTGGAATCCTGGGGAATTTCTCTCTTCTTTCCCATTATCTCTATCTCTATTTCACAGGATGCAAGTTTAGGTCCACAGATTTGGTCATCAAACACCTGACTGTAGCCAACTGCTTAGTCATTCTTTCGAAAGGAGTTCCCCAAACCATGGCAGCTTTGGGGATGAAGCATTTCCTCAGTGACATTGGGTGCAAGCTTGTGTTCTATGTGCACAGAGTGAGCAGGGATGTGTCCACTTGCACCACCTGCCTCTTGAGTATCTCCCAGGCCATCACCATCAGTCCCAGGAAAATTAGATGGGCAGAGCTTAAAGCAAAAGCTCCCAAGTACATTGGGTCCTGCAATATCCTCTGCTGGATGTTGAACCTGATACTAAATGTCATGGTGCCTGTCTATGTGACTGGCAATGGGAGTGACAAAAACATCACAAAGAAAACTGATTATGGCTACTGTCATTCTGTGAGTCATGGCAAATTCACAGATTCCCTGTATGTAGCACTGGTGTTACTCCGAGATGTTTTCTTCATGGGCCTCATGCTGCGGGCCAGTGGCTTCATGGTTTTCACCCTGTACAGGCACAGGCAGCAGGTCCAATACATCCATGGGACCAATATCACCTCCAGGTCCTCCCCAGAGTCCAGAGCCACCCACAGCATCCTCGTCCTGGTGAGCACCTTTGTGTCTTTGTGCACTCTCTCCTCCATCTTTCACATTTGCTTGGCTGTTTTAAACAATCCCAGTTTGTGGCTGGTGAATACCTCTGCACTAATTGCTGGGAGTTTCCCAACTGTGAGCCCCTACATTCTCATGAGACATGACTCCAGGGTGCCCAGCCTCTCTTGTGACCATTTAAGGAATACCAAATCCCTTATTTAACAATACTGTGTAAACTACATGCATATTTAAAATGGGTTTTTCTCTATATTTTTCAAGTTAGATGTTTTTACTTGAGAAGTAAAGTGATAGTAATAGAGCTCAGTACCCATTTATTCACTCCTAAAATCTCTTAATAGCCCCAGATCAGAGCCTAAAGCTGTGAACCAGAAGCTCAATTGAGGTGCCCCATGTCAGAGGCATGAACCCAATTACCTGAGCCACCACAACTGCCTCCCAGGTCTGTATTAGCAGGAATCTTGGGTTGGGAGCAGAGCTGGGTATTGAACCTTCATAGCTCTCATACTGGAACTGGCATTCCTCTCTGGAATCGACAATGCTAAATTCTTTGTTCATTGATTTCTCTGGAAGTGGAGGCGCTTTTGTGAAACAGTCACAGTACAAGGATGTGGTAAACAGGACAGTCTGAATTTCTGCCATCGATCAGAAATAAACTGATCAGCAATTGTAAATGATTTTCTAGGTGGTTGTCACATTAATTCCTGTATTGTGGAAATGTTATTTATGTTTCTGATTCCACTAAGAAATGTGGAGACTATGAAGTAATGGACTTCACCTGAATCTGAAAATGAATATATCAAAAATTAACTAGTAATGGGGAAACAATAAGAGCTCCATAAAGCAGGAGCAACATTTCAGGTGGGGATCAGAACAGAGAAAATGAAGAAAGTCCCCATGGAACAATGAATAGCATGGAACTTGGTGGAGGGAAAGCTCAGTTTCCCAGAGTAAAAGCCTTGAGGACCACACAGGAGTCCTATGCACTACTTACGGGGATAGCAGTGCTGGGTCAGGCCAGAGCCAGAGCCAGGAGCCTCATACAGTCTCTCTCCTGGAGGACAGGGGCCCAAACAACTGTGCCATCTTCTCCTGCTTTTCCCAGGTTATTACCAATCTAACCCTTCCCCGCAGTGTGTGTGTGTGTGTGTGTGTGTGTGTAAGTTTATTTCCATGTGTGTAGACATAGATACTTGTGTTACTATATGAACACATGTAGAGAGATAAAATCAAATTATATTCACACTTTATCAATCAATAACATCGTAAAACCATGAAGTAAGAAATCCAAAGTGATGCTAGAAAGAATGACCTCACTGTCTACTCTGATGTGCATGTCCCCATGTGTAGGACACTATAGAAAACAAACCCTGGCTGTAAGGTCAATGACAGCTGAAGGTGCCCTGGAGGTCTGGCAGGGCTGACATTCCCTGTCCCTCAGCTGTATGACACAACCCAGCCTGGGGATTTCCAGTCCTGGCACAGGGAAGCCCAGCAGACAAGACCACCCCAGCACACAGGCAGCTCTCACTCATCTAAAGCACAGCTTCCCCTGCAAGCTCAGCTCCAACTCCCTGTAGGACAGAAACTCCTAGTACCTGACCTAGGTTGAATACAGACATAAGGAAGGGGCTGATTCACACACAGACCCTGAGGGAGGTCTTTGGAAGGAACTCCTTATGGCTGTCCCAAGACTGTTTTCTGTCCAGGCCACCAGTCTGCCCCTAGTACCTGTCTGTGGGAGTCCTGCTAGAATAACCTTCCTGAGAATCAGTCCATGCCTGAGACTCATCTTTGACATGGAGCTCACAGCAGGAAGGAAGGGAATCACCCTGGGAAGCTGCTTAACTTGGACAACCTGAAACCCATTTGCATTGCCAAGTTCGTTGTTCCATAGTGAGATTCACGAGGAATACTTTGTTTCTACTTTTTTCTTTGAATCCTTAAGCATTTCATTTAATAAAATTCAATAGAATTCATTAATAAATAGTAAAGTATTAGGAGTAGTTTAAGGTAAACATAAAAGTGTATAAATTTGGCCATGAAATGTTGCACAGAGGGTTAGTATAAGTAGCAAAAATGTTCTGTGTATGTCTGCAAACAAAAATGTAGTAGAAATATTTTGAATGATTCACCATTCAGAAATGACACCTGTTTAAGGAGGTAGATATGTTTCTCTTGTTTTCAATATTAGAGTGTATACACATATGAGAACAACACATAGTACACCATATGTATGTAAAATATTACTTCTCAAGTAAAAATAAAATGGCTTAAAATTGTATGTTATATACACACATATAAGCTAACACTCATATATAATTATGTAATGGATCCATCTTCTTGTGTGACTTTCATTTTATCTCTCCCATTGTCTTATCTAATTTCTTCTAGATCATAAGGAAACTCTTTTTTCTTACATTTATGAGACTGTATAATTAGCTGCTTATAAGTAAATGCAGGGCTTAGCGCTGTGGCATAGCAGGTAAAGCCACCACCTGAAGTCCCATCATCCCATATGAGTGCCGGTTCAAGTCCCAGCTGCTCCACTTGCAATCCAGCTCTCTGCTATGGCCTGGGAAAGCAGTATAAAATGGCCTAAGTCTTTGGGCTCCTGCACCTGCATGGGAAGACCAGAGGAAGCTCCTGGTTTCTGGCTTGGGATTGGCGCAGCAATGGCAGTAGTGGCTTATTGGGGAGTGAACCAGTGGATGGAAGATGTCTCTCTCTCTCTCTCTCTCTCTCTCTCTCTCTCTCTCTCTCTATCCTTCTCTCTGTGTAACTCTGACTTTCAAATAAACAAATAAATCTTTGAAAGAAAAAAGTAAATGCAACATTTTTCCTTTTTCCTATTTTGATTCTTATAGTTTAGATATACAAAAGTACCTCAAAAAGTTCTTGAAAACTGGAAGATAAGTTTCTTTTGGTGCAAAAATTTTATAAAATTCATGAATAGTTTTGTGAGGATACTCATTTTCCATGGCCTTTTGGAATTCCATTGTCTGCATAGATTTAACTTGTGTTAAACAGAAAAGAAACATGGATATATTTTTAATTTTAAATTCTTATTGGCAAAAACACTTGCATACATTCTATATTCCTGGGAAACAAAATGATGTCTCCCTGTGTGTTTACATTGTGGGGTGATTATGTCAAGCTACATCTAGAAGCTAACCCCTTTTCTACCATTCCAGCATAGTGTCTATGAAACATCAATGTGTAAGAAATTATCTAGGAACCCTGTCACATGTAGACTGTGATCAGGTTCAGGGGAGGTGGAGCCTGAATTTCAGCATTAAATTCCCAGAGCCTCTAGCTGGTCAGCTGACCACACAGGGAGGAGCAAGAATCTACAGAACTGAAGTAAGAAAACCCCACCATCCCTCAGAAAACCTGAAAACACTGTAACTTGGACTCAGACACAAGTCAACCGTGTTCCAGGATTGAAAGAACTGATATATTTAAGTGAGCATACCACCATAGAATCTGCAGATTCAATGCAACCTCTATCCAATTCCTAATAGTATTTTTTACAGAAGTAAAAATAAATCCTAATATTCATATAGGCAGAAAAAAATAACCGTAAGGAACCAAAACAACATCCTGAGGAGCCAAGACAATCTTGAGAAAGAATAAAACTGGAAGCCCCACACAACCTTGGTTTCACAATATTTTACAGAGCCACAGTGTCCAGGGAGTAGGATACTTGGAAAGTCAGACACATGGACTTCATAGAGCAGAATGGGAGCCCTAAAAGGAACATTCATAGATGATCCATTAAGCTTCATCAAGAATTCCTGGGGTACACAATGGGGTAAGAAATATGAGTCCTTACAATAAATGCTGTTGAAAAAAAAAAAAAACAACTGAGATCCACACAGTAAAAATGCAGTTGTACCCTTAACACATTCTGTAACAAAACCAACTGAGAGTAATTAAGGTTTAAGTATGATATCAGGAGCCAGCATTAAGGCTGGTGAAGCTGCCATCCATAACCATATGGGTACTAGTTTGAGTCCTAGCTGCAATGCTCCCAATCCAGCTCCCTGATAGTGGGCCTGAGAAAAAAGTGGCAGACAGCCCAAGTGCTTGAGCCCCTGCACCCACTTGGGAGACCTGGTTGAAGGCCTGGCTTAGACCAGGGGTTGCAGTCATTTGGGGAGCGAATCAGCAAATAGAAGATTCTCTAACTCTGCCTTTGAAATAAGTAAGTAAGTAAATAAGTTAAGTAAAAGACCTGAAACTGATGGAGGAAGCATGGTACCTAGCAAGCATTTGCTGAGGCCACCAGCCTCTGCCCACAACCCAGCCTGGCCCACCCAAACCTCCTCCCTTGTCAGGCAGTGGAAAACCGTGATTCCTGCAAGACCACTGCTGAGAACAGGCACCAGCTAAATTACCATGCTGACACTGCTACAACCATCGTGCTCTGATGCCACGATACTTCCACTATTTCCATGAAGGGGTAAGGACAACCTCCAGGGAGTCAAGCCCCATACAGAAACTCCACCCCCAGCAATATTCAGTGAGACCTGGCTGCAGATACCACTTCAAGGTTCCAGTCACATGAGTCAATGGACCTGCACCTCCTGGAGGGCCTCCCACTCTAGAGCATGCCTGAACTCCTTCATGTGTGTGTACTTACAGTTTTCATGCAAATCAATATTTTCTGTAGACTTTTACCTGTATCCTGTTTGTGTCAAAGACAAGAACCTAGACACGGCTACCCCCACAACAAAACCATAAAATTCTTACAGGATAACAGGGGAAAGCTCCTTGACATTGGTCTTAGTAATAATTTCTTGGATGTATGACACCAAAAGAACAGGAAACAAATGCAAAAATAGATAAGAAAGATAGCATCAAACTAGACACTCTCAGCACAACAAAGAAAGCAATCAATGTAATATAAAGGAAACTATGAATTAGATTCCGGCAAGATGGTGGAATAGGAAGGGAGCACAATGATAGTCCGGGAAGAGACAGTTTAATAAAAGTAGAGATACTGCAGGTTCAAGGAAGAGTTGGGGGAAGAAACAGCAGAGGAAACTCTTCCGGAACTAGAGATTCACGGTGGACCTGCATGGAGGGCGTGGGAGCCCACCGCTCGGGACACCAGTGGCACAATCTATGCACCAGCACTGGAACGTGAAGTGAGCTGAATCTCAATAGCCCGAGACAGCGGCAGGAAAGCAGAAGGAGGAGCCTAGAGGGAACGAGGCTTGAAGCCCCATGGGGGAAAGTTCACCAGCTAACTAGAGGAGAGAGGGAAAAAAAGGGACCAGTAGGAACACGAGTTTCTCTTTCTCTGCTCACCTCTCAAAGGCGAGCAAGACAAAGAGCAGGTGCCATTTTGGTCCTATGTAAAAGTTGTGCTACCTCAGGGCTGCACCTGCCCACAGCCAAGCAGAAAAACCTGACTCTGTGGGGTTGAAATAACAGGAGATTAGGACCTAGTGAATGTGTGGAGCTAATGAACTGAGACTGTGAACAAAGAGACGGTGGGTGAGAGAACTCATGGAATTCAAGTGAGTACTCTCCAGAGACACTACAATTTGGTAACCTTGGAAACCCAGTGAGAGACTGCAGGAGAATTTGAGCCCACACTTAGGGCAGCACAGATTCCCTGTGTGGTCCTTGGAAAAGAGCAGACAAATGTTATACCCACAGGAGCCAGAGATTGGAAGCTGACTACCTTCAGTTCCACT